AAGCGACCTCAGCCAGAGGGTCGCAAGCCCGTCGGCCGACTCTCCACGGCTAGCGGAGGTGCTAAGGTGCTGCGGGGCGGGGAGGGGGCGGAGGCGGAGCTCGACGGCCGCTGGTGCCGCTGGGAAATGGAGTTCGCCTGAGCCCGCGGCATTCTGGGAAGTGTGGTTCTGCGCATTTGTCTGGTTTGAGAGGATCTGGAGTCCAAACTCCCAGGAGGTGGCCCTAGAGCGCGCCTGGGCTCCCGTGGCCTTCTGTGAGCTGCAGAGTTTTGGGTTCCAGAAAGTGAACGTAAGTTCACCATGGGGCAGTGTCTTGTACCTCTGCGTTTGCGTGAGTGATGGTGTGGCCTCCAGGCAGTGGCCCAGAACAGGCCCATTTCCCCTGCGATTACTCAGCAAAACAGCACTGAGCACCTGTACATGCCGGGCAGTTAAGCGGTTTGACAAATGTCAGTGGACAGAATGAATATTATTGTCCTGGAGTATATTTCTTTAAAGTGGTAAGGAGCAGCGTGTAAGTCCTGGTCATCATTATATGACTTTTAAAGAGGATAGCGTTACGAGAAAAAGCCAAACAGGAGCAGGGTTGGGGCTCTGGGCCATTTGGGAGTGAGTACGGTGTCCCAGGCTGGTGAGAATGGAGCAAAGATTCTGGGGCAGTGAGGCGAGTCGGGGAAGAGAGGGGAAGCCATTCCAGGTATGGAGAAGCCAACAAGTGGAAGAGAAACTGAAGTGAATGCTTCCAGTTAAAAGAAAAACACATCTGGAAGGTTTGTAAGACCTAAAGTCTCACTTCCACTTCACGGAGCGTGAACAGCCGAAAGGCCTCCACCTTGCTGGGCCCTAACACCCAGCGAGGCTCCGGGAACACGACGGAGAACCGAGAAACCCAGGAAGGACCACCTTGCTGCCCTAACACCCAGCGAGGCTCCGGGAACACGACGGAGAACCGAGAAACCCAGGAAGGAACACACCAGGCTAGATGGTAAATAGACCTTTATTAGTCTGGCCAGACGGCACTCCCGGAGCCAGGTGGCTCTCAGAGGCGC